TAGCTCGCGCTCGTCCTGATTTTGCATATGTTGTGAGTCAGCTTATGCACTCACTAGTGAGGATCACATGGCTGCTATAATGTGGATTTTGGCATACCTGAAATTTGCACTTGCCACCTAGTAAGGGAATATTCTATGGAAGACATGGGCACCTAAAAGTTGAGGGATACTTTACATTTGTTGGAGGCAACTTGGTTACATGGCAAAGTAAGAAACAGAAAGTGTGTTGGTTTTTAAGGCTCAAAATTAGGATGATGCAAAGAATTAGGTTTGTGTTACCTATTTGATTTTGGTGTCCTATTTAGGTTTGGATTTTGACTTCTTAGTTGGTTTCCTTGGTGGAAAGAATTTGTTAATTACCTATTTGATTAGGATTTGGATTTACTTCTTATTAGGATTCTTATTGTAACCTAAGTCCTATGCACTATAAATAGGACCTTAGGGTTAGTGTATTTTGTGTGGCTCATTCATGTGGCAATTTGGTGAGAGTCAATTTGTGAGTTTGTGAGTTAGAGAGCAATTTGGGAGAATCTTCTCTGTTTGTTTGAGTTATCTACTCATTTGGTTTAGGGTTTGTAATTTGTGGGATTTGGGTTGTGAGAGTTTAAACACTCTTTTGTAATCTCTGTTTGTTTAGTGAAATTCCTTGTCGTGCTTCGCCCGTGGAGTAGGCTTTACCTTAAATCATGTAAATCTCGTGTTAGTTTGAGATTGTTTGTTTTAGCTATCACCTAACGTTGATATTTGGTATTTTGTTATAATTTGCTTCCGTTTGCGCATAAAATTACAACAAGTGGTATCAGAGCCAGGTTTCGGCTTAGGCTTTGCTTGGCAGTCACTATGAAGCCTTCTGTGTCGTCGGTGAAAGTGGATATTGAAAAATTCAACGGCAATGACTTTGGTATTTGGCAATTGAAGATGCGTGCTTTGTTAGTTCAACAAAGGCTTTTGAAAACGCTAAAGGGTAGGAAGACTTTGCCGAATTCATGGACTGATAATGAAAAAGAAGACGTTATGGAGCGGCCACTTGGAGCAATCCTGCTGACTTTATCGAATGAAGTCTTGCGTGAAGTTGGTAGCATCAACTCTGCACTGGAGTTGTGGATAAATTGTATATGACCAAATCCCTTGCTAAACGGTTGTATTTCAAGAAAAGTTTGCATACTCTTCATATGGATGAAGGTACGTCAATTCATAAGCATGTTGATGAATTCAATAAACTTATGATGGATTTGAAAAGTGTGGATGGCCAAATTAGTGATGAGGATTATGCGATAACTTTGTTGTGTTCTTTATCTCCTTCGTATGAACACTTTGTCGATACCATGCTATTTGGCAGAGAAAGTCTTACTTTGGAAGATGTTAAAGTTACTTTGAATTCTAAAAAGCTAAAGAATAAAGTGTCTGACACACAAGATGGAGATTTGGTAGTTCGAGGAAGGAACAAGGAAAGGAGCAAACTTGGAAAGAACATTTGTAGCTATTGTTTTAAGGAAGGCCATTGAAAAGTAGATTGCCCTAAACTCAAGGGCAAAAAGAAGCCGTTTGATAAGTCTTTTGCTAGTGTTGATGCAAACATTGCAGAAGATCATTGTTATGAACTCTTCTAAAGGTTATGTGAGGAGGTGGAGCTTGGTACTCAAGCTCTTTGGGTGGAGTGCAATTCGCACTTTTTTGTTCTTATGTTCAAGCTTTTGCTTGGATTTTGTTTCGTATTTGTTAGTTTCCGTAATGGAATTTGCTGGAGAAGGCGTTGGAGGAAATTTCAAGTTTGAAGACTTTTAGATTTTAGATTCTAGGTGGAGATCAGTTTCAAAAGAATTTGGTGCACATTTGCGTTTGTATTTTGGTATCCCAAATTTGAAGTTTGTATTTGATTTGGAAGTTTGCTAATTTCTCGCCGAGGTGGAGATTGTTGGGTTTTTACGGCTTAAAATTAGGATGATGCAAAGAATTAGGTTTGTGTTACCTATTTGGTTTTGGTGTCCTATTTGGGTTTGGATTTTGACTTCTTAGTTAGTTTCCTTGGTGGAGAGATTTTGTTAATTACCTATTTGATTAGGATTTGGATTTACTTCCTATTAGGATTCTTATTGTAACCTAAGTCCTATGCATTATGTTTGTACCATACTTAACCAATCTTGAAACTACTGAGCACCGGTCAATATTATACCGTCAAGGACCCAGAAAAGTTTCCTTCGGGCCAATCACAGCACGACACATGTCGACGTTAGTAGCCAATCACAACACAACACGTGTCAATGTCAGAATGAAAATAGAAACTCTCTTCTATAAATAGAGATCATTTTTTCACAATATTTTCGAATGTCATTTGTATTAGATTATTCATTAGTACTCACAAAAGGAGAGTTTGAACCTATGTACTTGTGTAAACTCTTCACAATTAATGAGAACTCCTATACTCCGTGGACGTAGCCAATCTGGGTGAATCACGTGCATCTTGTGTTTGCTTCCCTGTCTCTATCCATTTACATACTTATCCACACTAGTGACTAGAGCAATCTAGCGAAGGTCGCAAACTTAACACTTTCTGTTGTACCAAAGTCCTCACTGATTTTGTGCATCAACACACTATAAATAAGACCTTAGGGTTTGTGTATTTTGTGTGGCTCATTCGTGTGACAATTTGGTAAGAGTCAATTTGTGAGTTTATGAGTTAGATAGCAATTTGGGAGAATCTTCTCTGTTTGTTTGAGTTCTCTACTTGTTTGGTTTAGGGTTTGTAATTTGTGATATTTGGGTTGTGAGAGTTTAAACACTCTTTTGTAATTTACGTTTGTTTAGTGAAATTCCTTGCCGTGCTTCACCCATGGAGTAGGCTTTATGGCAAACCACTTAAATCTCTTGTGTTAGTTTGAGATTGTTTGTTTTAGCTATCACCTACGATGTTGATATTTAGTACTTTGTTATAATTCGCTTCCGTTTGCGCATAAAATTACAACAAAGTGGTGGCAAGACAATCTGCCAAAGCTGAGTATAGGGTATGGGACAAGAAATATGTGAACTCCCTTGGTTACGTAAGTTTTTGAGATGTCTTAGTTTCAAACCAAAGAAAGCTATGAAATTATGTTGTGACAATAAGTCTACAAGAGAAATAGCATATAATCAGAACAACATGATAGAACAAAGCATGTGGAGGTTCATAACACTTTGTTAAGGAGAATCACGAAAGGAAGATTGCATCTATACCATTTGTAAATTCAGGGAAATAGTTGGCTGTTGTTCTTACTCATGGAGTATCTAGTAAAGTTTTTTTCTAGACTTACTTAGCAATTTGGGCATGTACCATATCTATGCACCAACTTGAATGAGAGTGTTGATTTTATTATAAATATTCTAGGAGCCCAATATTTGGTAGGAATAGGATTTGTAATTGGTTGTAATTTTTAGGATTTAGTTTCCTTATCATTGCAATTAGTTTCCTGGAGAGTAAAGCATGTGTATATATTACAAACCCTAGAGGATGAATAAAGTAACAAATTTTTTAATGTATTTCTTCTCATGCTTCACGTTCAGGGGTATGAACAAAATTGGAGACAAAATTGGAGACAATAAAACACTATTTTATGAACAAAATTGGAGACAATAAAGTTGTTCGGGATTGCGTTGTTCCAATTCATGATTCAGTGAGATTGAGTACCTAAAATGACCATCAAGTAAAAAACCACACGTACCAACTTTAACTCTTGGCCTTCTTACAGAAATGACGTATTCATGCATACTCGTAGAACTATGATTTGTAAGGAGAAATGACTAATTACAGTTGAATGGTGGACTGCATGTCAATGGCCGATTCGGCTCAACTGCCGATCAATTCGTTATCAGTTTTTAAATGTTGGGTGGCCAATCCATCCAACACCCCAAACAACTAAAATAGATATTATACGTATAACAAAAGTTCTTATGAGCAAAAACACTTATGAACTTTCACTCTTTGAAGAAAAAGAAGACCACAATCAAGAAGACTTCAAAAATAACAAAAATGAAGTAAGAGTTGAAGTGAAGGACTTACTAAGGCAGAACCCTAGTGTCTGAAAATCTATGACTTGAGAAAATATGATTTAAAATGACACAACTAAGAAGATGGTACGAGGGGTGAAAGCCCTGAATGGGCAGGGGTTGAAAATAGGTCTCTGGTGTCAACGAATGGATTGGATTGGATAACTCACTAGATTTAATATATGTTGAAAGACAAAATGGATGTCAAGACTTATCCCTTCCGATCTCACAAAAATTAGTAGGACTGTGACAGATTTGTTTCCTTCATGACTGATCCATTCTTCGAATTTCAACAGACAAATTTTGAAGTTGGTATCCATTTCTTCTTTAACATACATTGATTCTAGTCAGTCATCCACTCAGACACAATTTTCAACACCAAACGAGGCAACAGAGTAGAACGCAGCAGAGACCTGGTTATTGTCTAATTACAAAGGCAACAGAAACCCGTGAGTCCACACCAGGATAGTACATTAATAGAATGCCAACGGACTACCTGAAAATGGAAAGGGTCTATATTGTATTTAGCTGCTCTTATGTGGTAAGCTGTGGCAGTATGATTGGATGCATATGATGTTGCAACTCCAGTTGATAAAGAGTATATTGATCTAATCTTCAATGTCTAAACACCACCGATCAAACAATTATCAATACAGGGAAGTGGGAACTAACTCTTACTCTAGCAAGTATGCACGCAAGTCACCCCTCTTTCTGTTGGTAGAACAATTTCTATTAAAAAGTCTAGCTTAATGCTCAATAGGACGTTCATCAACATAGGAATTGGCATAGTGCTCAAAACTGCAGTCCCAACAATCAGGGAACCTAAAATCCTAATTCTTTCAAAATCTCTCTTTATAGCTTCTAGTTTTCTTTGGTGGTCTCTGTAATCTAGTAGTACTTCTCCTACTAAAGTGGAGTTACAGGATTTCGTCTGCACCAACCTACTTTTATCATTTCCGAAAAAATGCGAATTCCTTCCATTGTAATCCAGAAAGAATATTACTTGTAATCCAGAAAGAATATTACTATATGGGATTTTACAACCTACGCAAGTACTTCAGCAGCCATTTTCACGTAAAATATTCCTATTCCCCTGTCAGGCATTTGATGAACAATGCACAAAATTCAGAGACCAGACCTCACAAAGCATGTATCATGTATCTTCCGCTACGAGGTACATAAAATAAAACAAAAACGGAAAGCTCAAAAAGACATAAGCTTGGGACCATTATCTGGCATACCCATCCCAGTAGCTAAATCAGCGTCCAGCTGAGTGTGAGGTGCATCCCCCATCATTATCTTCACACGCTTCTTGTGACGCTTTGTCTTGAAATGATCGTCCCTCACCAGCGCATTGTTAAAATATCGGCTGCAATTCCAAAACCGAGTTGCTCACTTGAGCAAATTATACAAACCCAACTAAAACAAACTAGTAAAACAAATGAGTCTCGAAGATGGGTAACTTTCCATTTTTTTCTCAGCAACCAAACAGACCCAGATAAAAATTTCCACCAAAATTCAAAACTAAAAGTACACAAAATCTTACTCGCAGTGTAGGCAGTAGTATTGGCCCATCCCAGGAAGGTCCTGATCCTGAGGCAGTGGCTTCGCCCCCTTCTCTGCCTTCTTCAGACCATCATACACCATGTCGTCACGTGATCAAATTCTCCGTCAAGGAACCAAATCAAAATTCTACAAAATTGAACCAAAAAAAAAAAAAAAAAAAAGGAAATAACAATTACGGTGAAGAAAAAAAAGGATATCTTTGATTTCAAATTTGGCGCGGCGGTGAGTCTTGTGAGAGTATCTTCGTTTCTTGACGCTTCTATGCGGGCACTTGCCTCCCATGTTTTCTTGGATTCGAAGTTTCGGTTTCTGTGGCTGCGAGTTAGGGTTTCGTAAACCCTGGAAACGAAAAGAGGGATGGATACAGGGAAGGGAACGGGATTTATCTTGCTTCCCGAATGCGGTGTCGTTTCAAAATCTTCTGGGACGATATTGTTGTCGGGCAGATTGGGATTAGGATGGGCAATGGTTATAGAGGACGGATAATCGCGGTTATTTACCTATAATCGTTTATATTTATACCCGTATAACCGTTTACCCGTTGGGTAATTGCATGAACGGTTATACTCATACCCATAACCGTTTACTCATTTAACCATAATCATTTACCCGTTTATCATTTTTTTATCCCTTTTTTCACCTATCTACATGTTTTTTTTAACAACTTGAAAATTACAAAAAAAATAATTTTCATTTTCTGACCCTGGAAACGAAAAGAGGGATGGATAGAGGGAAGGGAACATGATTTATCTTGCTTCCCGAATGCGGTGTCGTTTCAAAATATTCTGGGACGATATTGCTGTCGGGCAGATTGGGATTAGGGATGGGCAATGTGAAGGAAATTTTGTGAAAAATATGTGCATTTAAGCAACATCTATTAGCATGCAATTAACAATTAAAGGCGGAATCATGCTTGCATGCACTTAAAAACAAAACATTAACCATGAAATTCAAAGCCTAGTAGATTGGTGAACCAAGACTCAACTCAAAATAAAGTGAGTTGAGATTTATACATTTGTAGATTCCTCTTTGCATAAGTAAAGGCTAATCACCCAAAGAGAGGGCCTTCATTCCTTGCATCTTAGATCTATGGATTTGGATGGATGAAATGGTTATCCAAGTTCCCAAAATTGAGAACCTCTAAATCTCCATACCAAGGTAAGATTGATGAAGAAATGAGTGACCTTGGAGGAGAAAGATTACTAGCTAATCCCTCCAAGGGGGCCGGCCTTTTTAGAGAGAAATGAGAGCTTTGTGTTCTCTCCAATTTCCTAAAAAGAAACCCTTAATGAATTTTGGCTATAAAGTTATTTATATAGTCACTTCTTTAAGTGACCTAAAGAACCAAAACCTTAATTCATATCAAATGGCCGGCCACATAAGGGATTTGGGCTTTTGGGCCCTTGTGAATCTTTATTCATTAAATTGTCATACAACTTAAGTCAATGGGCTTGACGTTCGAAGCCCATTGGGCCTTAAGGTCCAAAACTATCCCGAGGTCTTTAACGAACTTATTCGTTTGATTAATTAACATATTAATTAATCATTGCCATAAACAATTAAACCATTTAATTATTCTTACTCATCTCCATTGTTTCTTCAATTTCCACCTTACACGGTGTACGATCCATTAGGTTCCTTTTAGCGAGGCAGTGGGCGATTAAAACCATTTCAAATCGATTGAGAATTGAAACTCACTTTCAATTCTTCCTTTAGTGATTATACACGTTTAGGGCTTCCACAAACCATGAGTGACACCTAGCAGCATATCATGGTTACCCAAGCTAATCAGAAGAGGTGGAGAACCTATTTAGTTTAGGATTACAAATGCAATACGGTCTTTCTCTAATACAATACTCTTGACCATATTGTTTGGTTTGATAGTTTATTCATGTCTACTATCCAATGTGATTCGTGTGCTTATATGATTACCTTGAATGTGATTTGGAACGACTTCCTAAATCTCATTCATACTCTAGCCAGAGATTCTTAATCATATCATAGAGTATTCTCCCTCAAACGGTTTGAAGGTTAGAGATCCTTTGTTGCGCATTCACTTGCCTCCATAGCTAAGTGGCTTAACCCCAACTATGCCGTGGACACCCTCCTGATGGAGTGACTTTGACATAATCAAATATCAAGGACTTAACCACAAGACAACTATGATGCCTCAGGTCAAATGACTACTTTGCATTATCCCAACCATGAGTTCTCATGTGACATGAATATGAGAACTCTTCGTTGATCGTGTTCAGTGAACTCATTCTCTATTGAGCACCTACGTACTTGTTGATGTCACACACACCAATGACTCGAGACTAGTCACTCTCCCTGAGAGAAGACACAGCATGTACTGATCTTAACGGACTGTCAATGCCCAATTGGCAATCCTATAATCAGGAACGTTTAAGATATGTATACGAAAGAATGGTCTCATGAATCTAACTTCTTTAGATTGCATTCTCCCAATCACATATTCCTTGGACTTATCGTTTAAGCATATAACATTTATATGAGACGGCTTAAAATAATAATCTTTGCCCTTTATATTTAAACTACATTAGTTTAACTTGTGAAATGTCCGTAAAGTATCATCATATGATTGGTTTTAGGGCACATTTCCAACACAATGGTTATAGCGGGTGGATAACCGCGGTTATTTACCCATAATCGTTTATATTCTTACCCGCATAACCGTTTACCCGTTGGGTAATTGCATAAACGGTTATACCCATACCCATAACCATTTATAAATGGTTAACCAAACTCATAACCGTATACCCATTTACCCATAATCGTTTACCCATTTAACCATAATCATTTACCCGTTTACCCGTTTATCATTTTTTTATCCATTTTTTCACCTATCTACATGTTTTTTTTTTAACAACTTGAAAATTACAAAAAATTAATTTTCATTTTCTGACAATTAAACACCGTTATAGGTACATTTTAGCATGCATTTCTTTATTTTAGTCATTTAGATCATCATAGAATTCTAATAATTGAAATAATAGTTTACGAATGATATTTTTTTACTACACCCAAACAAGTCTTTAATTATAATCCATATGATTACAAAGTAAAGCTTCTAAAAACAAACATTTTTCTACACTAATACCAGTACTTTCCATTAACCGCAAGATAGATCATAAGCTTCAAGTCAGCTCTTTGATCTTTCTCCTTGTTGGCTTCTTGTGCTTCAAACTTTTTGTATACAAAAAGTTTAGCAACAATTACAAAAACGCGTTATAACCGTTAAAAATATTATAAATTTTACATATATTAAATTAAATGGGTAAATGGATACCCATTATAACCGTAGGTAATACCCATAACCAATGGATACCCGTTATAACCACGAGTAATACCCATAACCGCCCATTTAAATTTCACGGATAAACGGTTATATCCATAATCGTTTGTTCATCTAAATGGTTACCCATAATCATAACCGTGAACTTTAAATGGGTGGGTAACTGCGATTATCCAAACCCATGGATATTTTGTCCATCCCTAATTGGGACATAATAGAGGGCCTTGTTTCGGCCTATTTTAACAGGGATGAAAGCCCATTTGTTAGGCCCAACATTGGAATAAATGAGTGTTTGGTAATTTTTTTTATTTTTTATTAAACAAACGATATCATCTACACTAAAAGGGATGTGGTAGATCCACACGCTCCATGACTCTGATACCATATAGAATTATCAAAAAGACAGGCCAAAGACCCACTTCCAACAACACCGATATTGTCCTCAACTTAGGAACTACCACTTGCACAATCCGTTGGATGTTGGGTTTTATCACAAAAGACCTTGGTATTAATTGGAGTGAGATTAGGATATTTAAACTATTCTTTTGTCATTGATACGGTCAATGTGAGATATTTCAACACCGAGAATGTTCTCTTTATGATGGTTGGTCTTGACTTTGGCCAAGCTATTTGGGAGTGTCTCCATCAACTAGGGGTGGGCATGGTCCAGTTCGGCTCGGTTCCACCCTCAAAATGGAACCGGAATCGAAAATTTTCAAATATTCGGTTCGGTGCGGTTCCGCTTAAATTTATTACTAAAACCGTACAGCTTGGTTCATGCCGGTTTACGGTTCTATCGAAAATTATATATATGTTTTTTCTAATTTTCTACTTCTAATACCAAACACATATTTCAACCACAAATTCAAGTAAATTTGAGTTTCCACAACTAAATCTACAAGATTTGTGACCGGAAGATAGACAGTGTGCATATAAATATAAATTAGCAGATAGAAAGGCTCATATCAAGACCAAAGTGTAGATCTTAAACTAAAACTAAAATGTACATAATGCATAATATACTGGAATAGAATGGAGAAAAATTATGTAAGGGGTGAAAAGTGATAAAACAAGAAAGGAGGGGAAGAGAAGTGAAGAAAAATATTGGGCTTATGCACATGGTCTTCTTGAAAAAATGTCTTATTTATATAAAATAATAATAAAATAATAAATTATATTAAAAGCGGTTCAGTCCAGTTCCTCCGGTTCTTAATATTTCCAAACCGAAACCGTTTGAAACAGTTCGGTTCAGTTTTTGTTCCAGTTTTAACTTTTTTGGTCAACTCGGTTTTTTTTTGTCACGGTTCGATTCGGTTTTCCGATTTGACGGTTGTTTTGCCCACCCCTACCATCAACACTTATCTCAAGTTTCTGTTGCCAATGCTGCTAACCTACGCTTTCGTCTTCTTAACCTTCAAAAAGGCAGTCACCCACTCCATGAGTATCTTCAGGAGGCCAAGTCAATTGCTAATGGTCTTGCCTCCATTCATCAAAAGGTCTATGACAGTGATCTTGTGATGTCCATTCTCCGTGGTCTAGGAGCAGACTACGTGATGTTTGTCACGTCAATTCTTAATACGGCCACCTTGCCTTCCTTTTCCGACCTGCGTCAACAAATTCTGACTTATGAAGCCCATGCTGCTCGCATGAATCCAACACCTGCTGCCCATGCACTCATGGCTGCTGATGCTCCACAACCACATAATCCAGCCGCTGCACCCACAACAGTGTTGGAAAATTTAATAATATTATTATTATATTAAATTTATTAATTAAATGGAAATTAGAAGTGGAGTCTTTTGGTAGAAAGATATGCCTACTTAAATGAAGTGTTACAACCTTTGACTCTTCATGAATAGTCACATGTTTTCCAAAGAGGTATCTCACATTCTATAAATAGGGAACCCCCTATAATCACAAAATAACTTTTCATTGTTTACATAATCATACATAGAGTACACTAAATATTAGAGAGTCGTTGAGTCCATATTAAAGAGTTTTCAACACAATCATGGTTCATGGAGCCTTGTGATTTATAGTGCTACTATTACAAGGACAT